GAGGAGCCCACCTTCCGCATCCCTTCCCACCCTGTACCCCGCACCCCACACCCCGCATCATGCACTTCCCAAATCGCCTTTCACAGAAATGAATGACTCAAAACAGTGCAAAAGAAAATATGCAAGGGGAGCATTCTTTTTCAAAGGTCAGCACTTTTTAATCGACAGTCAGGAAAGACAAAATGGACTTTTGACTTTTAAGTTTCTTTTAAAAAATTTAACAGCAGGATGTGGTGGTGCATATCTATAAGCCCAGCACTCTGGAAGGCTGAGGCAGGAGGATCTTGAGTTCAAGTCCAGCCTGGGAAACTTAGTGAGACCCTTTCTCAATATAAGAATTTTAAAAGGGCTGGGGATGTAACTCAGTCCAAAGATACTAGGTTCAATATTCAGCTCTACATTAAAAAAAGAAAAATGCAGACTGCCAAAGTCTGCATTTTCATCTTTAAAACCCTACAGGAAAACCAAGTACAGTTTCACATTTAATTCTTACACCAAAGCTTACAGAGAATTTGAATTTTTATGTGCCATTACTCCCTGTCCAGCTAATTACTAATAACTGGAAGTTTATGAGCAAACAAATGCTTTACAGTTTAGTCATTCTACAGTGCAATTCAAAGGACATCCAATTCCAGCAGTCAACAGTAGAATGCAGCCCCACAAGCAGCAACCAGCTCTAGGGTCCCCGCACCTGTGGCAGCACTGCACCACTCTCCCCAGGACGCAAAGAGCTCCCCACCTCACACACCTGATGGAGTCAGTGCCACTGCATGGCTGGAAGCAGCCAAACTCCAGCCCCACACCAGGAACACAGGGCAACGTGTGCATCCTCCTGCACACAGCTCCTGCATACAGTGATGCAGCTGGTCTCACAGCTGCTTCTTTCTTCTCCATCTGCCACAGCCCTGCAGTCAGAAGCTCCACTTCTGGCCCACCGAGTGCCAGCAGGATGAGAAGACACAGGGCAGCTCAAGACACAGCACTGTGTCCTGGAGACAGCTGGGCTGAGGGACAGCTGCACCTTGCTGCTGTCCCTGGCACACAGTCTACACGGCTCACCAGGGAGGCCTGACTTCTACTATACCTGCATCCCTCTGCAACACCAACCTACCAGAAGACCACCTCGAGTGCAGCCAGGGATGTAGCTTGGCAGCACAAGTGCCTGCCTGACAAGCTTGAGGTCATGAGTTTGATCTCCGGTGCAAAAAAAAGTACTGCCAGCCAGGTGTGGTGGCACACTCCTATAATCCCAGCACTTAGGAAGTGGAGGCAGAAAAATCATTTTCAAGTTCAAGACCAGCCCAAACTACATAGTAAGAGCCTGTCTCAAAAAGACAAAAGAGGGGCTGGGGATTTAGCTCAGTGGCATAAGCGCCTGCCTTGCAAGCAGGTAGTCATGAGTTCGATCCCTGGTACCGATAAAAACAAAAAAGACAAAAAAAGAAAGAAAAGAAAAAAAGACAAAAGAAACACGGACCACCGCATCCCACGCTAGGACATCACCACAGTGTCTGAGACGTCCACCAGGACCAGGTGCAGTCATTGTGAACACCTGCCCAGTGCATGTGAGGCCCTGCTTTCACCCCAGCACCCTAAGAAGAGAGACGTAACCCTAATTTCTGTATCACTGTCCCTCATGGATATCGCTGGGATAAATGTAAACAAAAGTTCGCAAATAACTGTTATTTTCCCCAGTGTGAGTGGCTCTTTTGTTTCCTTGGAATCCTTTGCCTGAATACACCACCAACCAGTTCAACAGCCCCGATCAATGTGTCTCGAGGGGTCTGTACCGAGAGGGAAAGCCACTCTTGGAAGTCACATATTACACAGTTCCATTTATACAACATCTTTGAGGTCATAAAATCACGAAGCTAGAGAACAGATGAGTGGTGGCCAGGGCAGGGGTGGTAGCTGTAGCCACCAGGGCTGGCACAAGGAAGCCCTGTGATGATGCATATTGTGTACAGCAACAATGGGAGTCACACCAAAACACACGTGCTAAAACCACACAGAGCCACACGTGCACACACATAGGAACACACACTGATGCACACACTAAAACTAGAGCACATAAAACTAATGAGGCCTAAATAGCCTGGTGGCTTGTACCAGTGCCAGTTTGTTGAAAATGTCCTGATCGAGGCGTGGTGGTATACACCTGTAATCCCAGCACTTGGGAGGCTGGGGCAGGAGGATCACTGTGAGTTCAAGGTTAACCTGGGTTACACAGAGAGACCCTGTCTCAAAAAACTACAAAAAGAAAAAAAGAAAGACAATGTTCTGTTACACAAGATGCTCACAGTGGGTGGAGAATACCAGGGACAAGCCTATTTCTTCACAACTTCCTGTGAATCCATAATCATTTCAAAAGAAAAAAATTATTTTAAAACTGGGGCTAAAAAGAAACTTATTTAATCTCCAAAAACTAAGACCAAATGAAAAGGACTAGAATTTTTTAATGACAAGTTCAAGAGAAGGAAAGAAAAACAGTTTCCACGTGTGGAATTCCAGTTAGCCCAGTCCCTGGCCCAGGGGTGAGTGAAGGTCAGTCAGGAAGGATCAGGTTAATTTTCTGAGACACATGAGCTTACTGCCTACGCCACAGGAGCCACAGGCCCAAGTGGCACAGCGTGACACTGGCGGCTTTCCACATGCACTGCTGCCTCTGCTAAACGATACAGGTACCGAACAGCACCTGCCACCACTCGACCCTTACCCCTGTCCCAGAGCTCAGCCAGGTCTTGCAGGGGAGCTCAAGAAACAGTCAGAAAGGTGAAGGAACTGAGCCTGGAGATGAAACATCCTCGGCAAGCTCAAAATGCATCTTTGGTGCTGAGGCTCAACTGTGGCAGGAGAGAGCCAGGAGGGTGAGCTGGGCTCAGGCACCTACACACTCTCACTGCGGGACAGCAGCCAGCTCACTGGCAAAGCCAGGCAGCCAGAGGAGGACCAGCTCTCAACCCACTGCCTTGGCCCTCGATGCAGTCTCCTTGGGTTCCCCCATAGTCAGCTGGCTTGCTGGACATGAGCCTGGTGCTGGGCACTAGGAAGGCCACAGAGGGATGTAGTAGTGACCAAGATACATGCCATACAGGGAAACACAAAGCCGACTGGCAAAGGCAGCACCACAGGGGAGCACTCTGCTCCAGAGGAGAAGAGCAGCACCAGGAAGGGGGGTGGGGGGGAGCAGAACTACAGACAGCAAGGTAAAGAGGGCCCAGTGGATGAGGGGCCTTGAGTGTCCCTGAGGATTCTCAGCTTTGCCCAGCAGGGAGCATCTCACCACTCCCACAGGAAGGCATGGAGTACAGGGACAGTCCCTACAGCAAATGAGGATTCCCTGCCTGTGTCCCACAGAGACTCTTGTGGCACAGAACACATCCAGTATGGTGGCCAGTTGTGTGAGGAGACAATGGTCACCCTCACTGTCCTGCCACTGCCACTTTCTTCAAAGAAAAAAAATGGACGCATAGGCAGGTCAGGAATTTAAGCCAGTAAACCTCCATCCAAAGTTTGACTTCAAGGGCTGGGGATTTAGCTCAGCGGCATAAGCGCCTGCCTTGCAAGCAGGCAGTCGTGAGTTTCATCCCCTGTACCGATAAAAAAGGAAAAAGACAAAAAAAAAAAAACAAAGTTTGACTTCAGAGTAACATGCATGCTTAGTTTTCCAAAACACATGGAGGCTACAAACCTGGGCCTGGGAACCTCACCCCATGGTAAGCCTAAAGGGAGGGCACCTATTTTTCTGAAGAGTTAGGGAAGGGGCAGATGTCTTCTACCCTCAGATACTCTGCCCAGTCCAAAGACTCAAGGGAATACAGAGAAAGTCCGGCTGCACAGCATTTATCAGGAGGTAAAGCTGCCACATTCCTCAAAATAAACATTAACTCTAAAGCCATAGGCATCACACAGTCAATCAATTATTTGCTAGATAAAAGTCTAAAATAAACACACAAGACAGAAAAATGACTATTCTCTTAAGCAGGGAAGGAGACATCTCTGATGCTGACAGGAATTTCTGCCTTCCAAAACCAAGCACCCTCCTGGTGCCATTAGCAGGCCACGCCCTCCCGACCCATTTCACCCTGGGTGGTGTGGTCCCATCCGGGGACACCCGCTGAGAGGGCTTATGCCTGCAGGGAAGCAAGAACGGTCTCCACACCCCACACTCTCTGCTGTGGCTCCCTGGGGGAATGACTCACTTTAGTATTAGTGAGGGAGATCTAATCAAAGGGCAACAAGCCTCTAGAACCGGGTCACCAGCCCTGTCTGCCTGAATGTGGGGTCTCCGGATTCCACACCCAAAGCAAAAACATTCACGCTGTTTTGGAAAAGCCTGGGTTAAATGCTCCATTACTAGAAAGACTGAGATGACATCATGCCGGGGAGGGGCGTCTAGGCCAGAAGCCCCTAGATTGTGGCACAGACTCCCGTCCTGCAAGCTTGTTCCCACTCCTAGATCCCAACACTCCCAGACCACTCACTTCCGCCTGAGTCCCCACCCAGCGATCCCCACTCCAAAACCCAGGCTTCACACTGCACCCTCTCCACCGCCAGGCAGGTCCACATTCCCAGACCTCAGTCCCGTACCAGGGCTCAGCTCCCATCCTCGCCCCGCCCCCAGATTTCCACCCCGGACCCTCAACAGCAATCCAGGCTGAGCCCCCGCCCCCAGATCTTTGACCCTACCACCAGCTCTCTACCCTCAGGCCTCTGCCCCAGCACATACCTAACACCGGTCCCTCACCCCGTACCCTGGCATGCGCCTCCGAGTCACAGCCAAGTCTGCACCCCCGGACCCGTTCCCCGAGCCCCCAGCCCCACCACCAGGTTCGCACAGGAGCCCCGTCGCGCACCCCAGTCAGGGCCCCATCCCCGGTCCCTGGGCCCCGCTGCATCCCCGCATCTCGGGCTCCGGCTCGCACCCGGGCCCGGTCGCCAGATCTCTTGCGCTCTGCCTGCGCCCCCGGCCCGCGACCCTGCCCGGCCCGGGGACTCACAGTTGCGGATGTCCGAGATGAAGACCGCCAGGCCCCGCATCCCGTCGCCCTTGGACACGGCCGGCATCTTCGCGCCCCACACAGGCCTCGGCGGTGGCCGGAACAAAACTAAGCACGGGTGGGCGGCCTCACGCGCGAGCGCCGACGCCTACTACAGTCAGGAGCGCGAGCCCTGCCCGCCGCCGCCTCGGCCCCGAGCGCCGCTCTCCGGGACGCGCACGCACCACGCACGCGCACGGAGCACGCACGCGCGCGGTGACGGCGGGAGAGGGGCAGAGTGCGCGTGCGCAGCGCGAGGGCGACTGCTGTGCGGATTCCCTGGTGCTCGCGGGTCGCCACTTCCCAGGGAAATTGAAGCTCAGAGCGAGACTGCCCGCCCACGCCCAGGAGGATCGCGAGTGGTTGCTGTCTGGAGCTCAGCTCCGTGGAGTATAAGATCACTCCTGCGGACTCAACAGAACCTGGCTGGGCCTTGCTGCCCAGGATCCCTAGGCACACCAGACAGCGGATGACCCTGCAGAAGTCTCCTTTGTGGAGCCAGATGGCTTGAAGAGGAAGCTGCCTCTCAGGGGTTATCCGGCCTTGTTCCTGGAACTGGCCCAGACCCACTAGTGAGACCTTTGGCCCCATGTTGGCTCACTGTTGCAGTCCCTGTGAGAGGTCAGGCCAGGTAGAGAGAGAGGCAGAGGCAAACCTCCCCTGGACCAGGCGTCCACGGAGGCCCCTGTGTCCCAAGGGACCAGGACTCGGTGCCCGCCGCACCTTGAACGGCTGCAAGTTCTCCGCTTTCCGGAGGCCAGGAGCATTGCCAGCGGGGGTCCTGGAGGAGAGGATACCACAGAGTCCTTCCCCACACCGGAAGATTGACTTTCCCACCGGAACGCGGTAGAGGAAGTGGGCCAGGGACATCTCCCCTCCAGCCTGTCCTCTGACATTAGAATGCCTGCCCCACACATCCTTGAAGACACACAGGCTTGCAGGGCTAATCTGGGACACCGGAAGCAGGCTTGTTGGGCAGGAGCCTTTGGCAAACTCTGGGAGAGGATTGCAGGGGCTTCTCTAAGAAAGGCCTGGAGCAGCAGGTCCTCACCTCTTTCAGCTATGAAGACCTCGCCTCAACGCTGCCTCTAGGACCCTTGCAGTCCTCTTCCTATGCACTCAAATGTAGCCAGAGGAGCCTGCCCCTTCTGCCAAGTCCTTCCTGCTCTAACCAACTGCTGACTGCCCCTGTCGGGTCCTTCAGATCACCTTTTCCCACCCAAACCTGTGTCTGACTACACACCTGGCCCCATCTGTCTCCTATAACCCCCAAACTGCCTGTCAGTTTACATATAGCCCTTCAATAATCTCTGCAGTGAGTGTCAGACTCACCCTTACAGAAAACATCAAGGCAAGCGGCCTGGTCCAGGTGTGGCAAGAGCCCTAAAGCGAGCAGGTAGGCACTTCAAATGGAGCCAGGCCGCCTGCAGAGACTCAAAACTTCTAATGGTTCATTTGAGGGGTAGGAGTTTAACTGCCCATCGATATCTCACAGCACAAAACTAAGGGCCTGAAGCAGATGCAGCTGGATTCAAGACAGCTGTGAAATAGCCACATGGTGCATGCATCCTCCCAGATGTCTTCTAGGAGAATTGGGGAGCCAGAGGGGCCAACGTGGGAGCCAGAAGGGCCAACGTGGAAACCAGAGAGCTGGGATGGATTGCCTGAGCTGACCAGGGAACCCCACTTCCACTTCCAAAGAACCCCCAGCCAGCCTCAGCTGTGAGACCGGAAGTCTGGCCCTGAAGTCACACAGGAGGGGTCGCCCCAAGGGCCAAAGGAAGTCTAGCGTATGTCAGCAAAAGTCCAGTCTGTGTACAGGATGAATTCCCAGAGAGCTGGCCCTATAGCATTCTGTCTTGGGGGCTCCCCAAACACGGTTGAAATGCCAGAAATTCCTGGATTTAATACAAAAGAATTCCCAGGCTTCAAAGCTTGGACCTGTCCCCTCTCAAGGAGACTCCTCCCAGCAAGGTTCACAGGAAGCTGCATAAATCACAGACTAGCCCACCGCAACTCTCAGGCTGTCCTCTGAAGCCACAGTACATGGAAGATGCAGTTCCTTGCTCTCAGAGGAGTAGGATAGCCATAGTGACAGAGACCCAGGGACTTGATATCTTGAATGTGGTAAGCCTGGCGGGAGCCCCACATAAAAACTACCTATTCACAAGACCTGTGGGCCAGCAGATGGACAGGTCTCAAGCTCCTGCCCAGTCAAGAAGGGTCCAGATGTGGTGATAGTGACTGCAGCCTCGCTCATGTGAGCCCCAGGGGCACCCTGAAAACGGGAAGCAGACATCCCTGAGTAGAGGAGAGGCCATGATAATATCACAACCCTGTCCTGCAAGTCCTTGCCAGGACTTAAAAATAAAACTGTGGGAAGAGCTGCCCTCATGAGGATCAGGGGTTACCAGGTCCCAGGTGGATCTCACAGAGACATACAGAGGAGGGGCACCAGCCGGACCTGAGAATGCACCTGGAGTGCGCACACACGCACACGCACACGCACACGCACACACACACACACACACAGCAGAGACAGTACCCCTCAGCTTCCTGTCAGGGACAGGGCAGGCCTTGGAGACAGGAGAAATCCTGGCACTTCTGTTGATGCCCAGTTTGCCCAGAGGTTCTCCAGTAATTGGGATGCGTTGTTGCTGCCGTGTGCAGATGGTTTTCTGGCTTTTTGTTTCTCTGCTAAGGATTGAACATGGCTACTGTGTAAGCACTGTACTACTAAACCTTAGTCCTTTTAATTGTATCTGGAGAGAGGGTCTTGCTAAATTACTCAGGCTGGCCCTAAACTTTTTTTTTTCCAAATCTATTTTATTTCAAGAAAAAAAAAGGAGAAAAAAAAACTAAAAATTTCAAAACATGTCAATGGGGCAACAATGGTATATACATTGTACATTGTCATCCCCACATCATTCACCCAGAGCACAGGACATCTGCATTCAGTTGTCCAAATAATATCAGCACAAATCTTTGTCTTCAGTGAACTCAGAGAAATCAGTGGTATAACTACCTTAACTATTTTTATATACATATACATATGCATATACGTATGTTGTTTCTTTCAGCTTCTCACACTAATGAGACAAATATGATGTTTACACATTTCTTATTTATTTCACTAACAAGAATGGTCTCAAGTTGCATCCATATAAAAGTCTCCATTATCCTTCTTTATGGCTGAATAGTACTCCATTGTATAAAAATACCACATCTTTTTTATCCATTAGTCAGTCTATGGATATTTAGGTTGTTTCCAAGATCTAGTTATTACAAATTGTGCTGCTATAAACATAGGTGCACATATATCACTGTGGCATGATGTTTTCAAATCTTCTGGGAAGACACCCAAAAAGGTAATAGCTGGTTTGAATGGGAACTCTAGTCCTAGTTTTCTTTTCTTTTTTTTTTTTTAATCAGTACCAGAGATCGAACTCATGACTGCCTGTTTGTAAGGCAGGCGCTTATGCCGCTGAGCTAAATCCAAGTCCTCTCCACCCTGATTTTCACAGTGGTTGTACCAGTCTGCATTCCCACCAACATTGGAAAAGGGTTCTTTTTTTTCCCCACAGCCCCTCCAGCATTTGTATTCCTTGATTTCTTGATAGTACCATTCTCTCTGGGGTGAGGTGTTGTTCTAATTTGCATCTCTCAAATGCCCAGTGATGTTGAACATTTCTTCACATGTTTATTCGTTACTCATATTTCTTCATCTGAGAAGTGTGTATTCATCCCAGATGCCCATTTCTGGATTGGGTCTTTAAATTTGGGAGGACTGATTTTTTTGAGTTCTTTATATGGTCTCAGTAATAATCCTCTGCAGCACAGCTGGCAACTATTTTTCCCACACTGTGGACTGTCTCTTCACTCTGGTGGTGGTTTCTCTTGCTGTGCAAAAGCTTTTCAGGCTGGCGATTTAGCTTAGTGGCATAAGCGCCTGCCTTGCAAGAAGGCAGTCGTGAGTTCGATCCCCTGTACCGATAAAAAAGAAAAAGACAAAAAAAACTTTTCAGTAAGATAAAATCCCATTTGTTGATTCTTTGTGATATCTTGTGGAATCTGGGCTTTATTCATAAAGTCTTTACCTACACTAATGTCTTCAAGAGTTTTACCTGGTCTGTCTTCCAGCAGATTTAATGTTTCTGTTTTAATATTAAGATCTTTGATCTGGACTGGGGATTTAGCTCAGCAGCATAAGGCTCCTGTCAGGCAAGCACCAGGTCGTGAGTTCAATCCCCGGTACCAAAAATAAAAAATAAACCTTTGATCTATGTACCTTTGGGACATGGTGAAAGATATGGGTCTAGTTTTAACCTTTGACATGTATAGAGCCAGTTTTTCCAGCACCATTTGTAAAGAGGCTATCTTTCTTCCAGTGAATGCATTTTGGCTTTCAACTTTCAATTCTCCTTTGTCAGCTTCTCAAGTGGCTGAAATTATCACCACGCCCAGCTGGTGTTGACTTTGTTCTGTGTGGTTTGGTTATTTATTTTTCATTTTTTGAGACAGGATCTCACTAAGTAGTAGCTCAGGCTGATCTTGAGCTCACTAAGTAGACCATGCTGGCCTCAGACTCACAGCAGTCCTCCTGCCTCGGCCTCCTAAGTGCTGGGATTTTAAGAATTTGCTGCTATACCTGACTGTTGGAGAACGGGGTTAAACACTCAAGATAGTTCTGTGTGTGGCCTGGTTTACCCAGTTCTGGACTAACCCAAAGCCAAATTTGCTGTCCTCATGGTGTGGATTTCTAGCCCCTTTAGTGTACCCCCTAGCTGCCTGGAGGTGCAGGGTGTGGGGAAAACCGCTGGTGGCAATAGGGGAGGCCCCTGCCAGACCCTTCCCCTCTGCAGCAGGTCACACCAGCACAGGCTCATGCAGGCAGCTGTGGATCTGGTTGAAAGCTTTTCTGTCTCTCAAATGTGTGAAAGGGGCTGAGGATGTAGTTCAGCGGCACAGCACCTACCTGCCAAACATGAGGCCCTGAGTTTGATTCCCAATACCAAAAAAGGAAGAATTGAATGATTCAAATGTGTGAGGGCAGAGGCCAAGCTGCTGAACAAGTGAACCTCAGAATACAGTGACTGAAGAGGGAGGAATTTATTTCCCTTGAGGAACAACCACTGGTGCACACAGCCAGCCTGCACAGGCTCCATGCTCCTTGGC